ACTTTAAAAGCTTACATCTTCTCTAGTGAAAAGTAATCCACTCTTTAGTGTCACACAGAACTTAATCTCTAACTTCACAAGTACATAAGTGACTCAAATTCATTTGTGAGTTGAAACCATCAAGATTCTTTAGCTGTTTTCTCCCACTTGGCCTGATTGCTGGGGGAAAAAAACATAATTCATATTTTCAAGAAAATGTAAACGTAAGATTTCCTATTTTGAACTAAAGTCAGCAACTTGGTTCATTTAGTTGAGTATAACTGCTACCTATGCAATCTATAATGGTGGTGACATACAGTGAGCACTGTATGTCTAAAATTTAGTGAGCACTAAAATTAATGATCTACTCTATTTTACAAAAGGGGAAACCAATCCAGAGGTTAATGATGTGTCCACCATAACTCAACGATCAAGATCCTCAGGTCAGTGCTCTTTCCTTCAACATTCTTAGGAGTTCTCCGGGGCACTGTAAAGATGAGAAGGAGGTTGCAGTGATCTGAAAGTTTATGTCCCTCTAAAATTCACATGTTAACATTGAATCTTCAATGTGATAGTGTTAAGAGGTGGGGCCTGTGGGAAGGGATTAGGTCATGAGGCCAGAGCCCTAATGACTGGGATTAGTGCCCTTATAAATGAAGCCTCAGAGAGCTGTCCCTTCCACCATGTGAGGATTCAGTGAGAAGGTGCTGCTGATGAACCAGAAAGCAGACCCTCACTGGACAAAGGATCTGCCAGCACCTTGATCTTGGACTTTCCAGCCTCCGGAACCATGGAAAATATACTTCTGTTGTTTATAAGCTACCTCGTCTATGGTTTGTATTTTAATTTTAATTTTAATTTTTTTTTTTTTTGAGATGGAGGTTCACCCTGTAGCCCAGGCTGGAGTGCAGTGGCATGATCTTGGCTTACTGCAAGCTTCGCCTCCCGGGTTCACACCATTCTCCTGCCTCAGCCTCCCGAGTAGCTAGAACTACAGGTGCCTGCCACCACACCTGGCTAATTTTTTGTATTTTTTTGTAGAGACGGGGTTTCACTGTGTTAGCCAGGATGGTCTCGATCTCCTGACCTCGTGATCTGCCTGCCTCAGCCTCCCAAAGTGTTGGGATTACAGATGTGAGCCACTGTGCCCGGCCTTGTTTGTTTTTTTAATCATAAACCACAGCAGTCCAAGTGGACTTACCCTTCAGGGTACATTAATTCACAAAATCCCTGAGAAGAAGAAAACTAGCATTTCAAATATATACTTTTTTTTCTTTGCATGTGTATATTGTGTTTTTTTCACTTGTGTTTCCATTGGGGGTAAAAAGCGTTTCTTTGCTTTACGAGTTTGAAATTCACAAAACTATACTGGCAGCAGGGGGAGGGTAGCAGGAAGAATGAAACATTAAAGATATCTATTTGACTTCAATTTTTCAACGTAGTAGACGGCAGAAAAAAATCAGTTGCAGAAATGGAAAGAGGTAGGAGATCAGAGCAAAGAGTGTGTGGGAAAAAGGAAATCAAAGAGGGAGGAGAGGGGAGGTGAAGGGCAAAGGAAAGAGAAGGAGATGGTGATACAGGAATTAAAATGAAATTATTTAGGCAGTTAGGGTAAGAAAGTCCTCAGAAGGTTTTCCTTTTAAAGAAAAGCAGCCCCAAAATCATTTCTTTTCTAACAAAGAGTAGCCTGTAAAATCGAGCTGCAGACATAGAAAGGCAAGCTAGAAGCTTGCACAGGTGATTGCTGGCAGCTGTGCTGACAAGAGAAGGCTACCTGGGACTAGGCATGTTCAAAATGGCAGCTCCTTCCCTTTGCCAGCCACGTGCACAGTAAGGAGCAGGCAACATGGCAGGCCAAGTGGAAAGTCTATTTGCATAATAAGATTAGTGTGGTGGGGCATGATGGCTCACTCCTCTAATCCTAGCACTTTGGGAGGCCGTAGCAGGCAGACTGCCCGAGCTCAGGAGTTTAAGACCAGCCTGGACAACATGGTGAAACCTCATCTCTACTAAAATACAAAAAATTAGCCAGGTGTTGCAGTGTGCGCCTGTAGTCCCAGCTTTGGAAGGCTGAGGCAAGAGAATTGCTTGAACCTGGGAGGTGGAGGTTGCAGTGAGCCAAAACAGTGCCAGTGTACTCCAGCCTGGGTGACAGAGCGAGACTTCATCTCAAAAAAAAAAAAAAAAGATTAGGGTGGGGTGGCTAGCCTTCCAGCCTTCCCCGCAGGCTATGTAAACGTCACACCTGGTCCAACCAATCTTGGGCCTTACATAAATCAGACACCATCTCCTCAAGCCTACCTATAAAATCCGGTGAACTACCACTCCAGGTTGGAATTCCCATTTTGGAGCTCCTCTCTCTCTCTCACAAGAGAGAGAGCTGTTCTCCTTTCTCTTCTTTTGCCTATTAAACCTCTGCTCCTAAACTCACTCCTTGCGTGTGTCTGTGTCCTTAATCTTCTTGGCTCTAGATGATGAGCCATGAGCACTTACCCTAGACAACAATGCTGATTCAATGGGAAAAGGAAGAAGGGTGAGAGAAGGGAGTGGAGAAAAGCCAAGGACTATGTTGGGTACCTTCCATTTGCTAGTTCAGGGCTACTCTACCCTCCTCCATCCTGCCTTCTGCCCTACAAGGTGGACTTACAAGGTAGTCATTAAGTGTGTCCTTCTTTGGCTTCTGGTTGGGTTTGGCCAGTGGGGTGGCTTGGCAGGTAAATGGACAGTGGAGGGTAAGTAAGGTCCGGGTATTCATTCACCTGGATTCCTTTCTGAATGGCCACCTGGGGCTAAGCTGTGTCCCTTGCCTTAAGATCATCTTTCTTCCCAAGGACAAAGAGCTCCTTATTTTTGGTCACTTCTTTGATCTGGTACTCTACAGGCCTGGGGTTGGGAACAGCTCCTCCCCTGCTACAAGCTCTGGGTTCCTGCTCAATCCCTTGCAGTTTGCCTTTACTGCCCCATACCTTTGTAAACAAAACCTCCTCAAGTGTTCCATCTGTGTGGACTCTGGTATTACGCAGGTATTACAATGAGAGGAAAGAGATGAGAAAAGGGATGAATTCTATGAAAGACAGCCTGGGTAGGAGGAGGATAAAATATAGACAAATAATCCTATGAATGCTACAACAGATTCTTGAAGTTTTCAATACTAATATTTAAAAGTGTTAGAGTTTTGTGGTAAAGAAACCTGTTCAACTATCATTTATAGCCAATGAGTATCATAAATATTTGGAGGCATAAAGGACACAACCAAGTAAAAGGGTAGGCAGAGTGCAGAGGGACAGCAGACGTAACTGAGTGTAAGGCTATGAAGCCAATCACAAGCTATCCATGGTTTAACCAGTGTTGTGGTTAAGTATGATGTCTTCATGAAAGTAGTCTCAACTACCTTCTCCACCACTGACTTCTTCTCCACCAAATACCAGCTCCACCACTGACCTTGGACAAGTTACATAAGCTGATTCAGAGTGCTCAAAAGTCTCTTGCTGCACTTTTTAAGACTTTATAAATTTTTGAGTAATCAATCTAAGATTTTTTTTATACGTTCCAATTACCTAAGTTATTTAAGTTTAAATGTAATGATCACATAACATAGTTTTGTAGACTCTACAGGATGAAACAAAAATGCTCTGGAAGAATAGGAGGTATTTTTTTACAAAACAAAAACATCCTGTCTATAAATCAAATGGACAACAGCTGTCTGGTCTTTGAATTATCTTTTGTCCTAAGATTAGCTGGGCTGCAGAGAAAAGAAAAGAATTAAGCATCATTATCAGTTAAAGTCACCTAGTAATTTCTACAATAAAATGATCCAACTATATTCAGAAATTATCGTGAAAACATTCAGCCTTCTAGAAGAATTATTATTGAATTTATATTAACCCCTGGGCTAAGTATCTAGGGACTGTTTTTAAAGAATTGCTAATGCAAGGAGATATGCTACTGATCTTTTAATCTGATCACATCCAGCAAGAGTTATTTGCCCTAGGGTCTGAGCTACATTGTAATAAAATCAAAGGACATAAAAACTGTGGCAGGAACAGTGCTGAAATTGGAGAAGCATCATTATGAATAGCAACAAGTATGGAGATGCATATGTAAGAGGGTAACTAGAGTCAATATAACCACTATTCTTCCATGATTTAGGGTAAATAGATAGTTATGGCTCATCTGCTAAATGATCTACTGGGTAGATATTTATGGATTATTATACAGTATATTATTGAGGATAAGTCTGGTTAAAAACAAATAGAGAAAAGAGCAAATGGCACAGGCAGGCTTTTAGTAAGGTCATCATTTGTAATATTTCTCGGGAAAATCTCTCTCAGAAATTCCTCAGCATAGCTAATGTGCCATAGAAGGACTCTCCATTTTAGGAGTGCATAAATTCACATAAATTGCTATAATAAGGATTCATCCCATAACCCTTTTGGCATAAATGCACATCTGGTCTCTGTTTGTAGTGAAATCAATTCAAAGCCCCACAGTGCATTAATAATAAAAATGTTCAACATATTGCAACCAAATAAGCTCTGAAAATTTGAGTCTGCAAGATTCTGTCACACATGTGTATACTTTTAACACTGATAAATGATTAGGTTACAGAACATTAATCAGATGCCTTAAGATTCCAAAGGTAGACTTTGAAAAATTATAATTATTATTTCCACAGGAAAACCCATATGTATGTATGCTAGAAACTTTTACTTGCTTAATTTATAATGCCTCTTGGACTTTTATATCTGTAGTTCACAATGCCATAGAAATTTTATTAATAATAAAATTATTATAAGCAATATAAGAGGAAATTCATGGATTTGCACTTTAAAAACAACAAAATTCTAGAATTAGCTCATAACATATTAGAGGTTGTCATTAAATGTGAAATTAAATTAAAATGGAAGAATTTTTCTACATTGATTTTAAAAGAATTCTTGACTGTTTTGTTTCCAACAGCTATCATCAACAGCAGATAATATAGTTTTAGCAAAGACTTTCTTGTTAGTCACAAGATTTACCTTCTGTGTTATATGATTGACCCAAGGAGAAGAACAGTTGCTGAGATCTGGTCCTTGGGGATCCCAAATTCCATCAGGAGCAAGGCATAGATAAGTTGATACACCTATAATAATGAGAGAAATATATCTGTTTCTTTTTCTGAGAATGACTTCACATCCATAGTATATTTAAAAATGAGCAAAGGTAAAAATGAGATAATTAAATTGACACAATGTTTATTAAAACACCAGATACAGTGCCAGGTAAGCATTTAGCACTAGAGAAATGTAGTACTCCAAACAAAAACATACAATATATTTGAAGCACTTGTGGCAGCCACATTAGGTATGGGGACTGTTTTGTTTTGTTTTGTTTGAGACGGAGTCTCGCTCTGTCACCCAGGCTGGAGGGCAGTGGCAAGATCTCGGCTCACCGCAACCTCTGCCTCCAGGGTTCAAGTGATTCTCCTGCCTCAGCCTCCCAAGTAGCTGGGACTACAGGTGCACCCCACCACGCCCGGCTAATTTTTGCATTTTTAGTAGAAACAGGGTTTCAGCATATTGGCCAGGCTGGTCTCAAACTCCTGACCTCGTGATCCACCTGCCTTGTCCTCCCAAAGTTCTGGGATTACAGGCGTGAGGCACCGTGTCCAGCTGGGGACTGTTTTTAAAGAATTTCATGTGTGAGATGATGTGATATGTGCCTCCGTGGAGCTTAGTGCTTGACTTTGTAGAGGAAAGGCAGCAGCTGAGCCTTAAAGGAATAAGTGTGCAGGTTTTTCAGAAAAAAAACAAGGTGGAAAAGGCCATTCCAAGTGGAAAAATATATGCTCTTTGGGAAACGTCAAGTTTTTTTGAACTGGGGTCTACTGGACTGGGGAGTTGTATTTAATGAAAGTGGAAAAGTAAACCAGATCATAAACTCCCTTGTCTATCATCTGTGGGTGCTGGAAAATCGATGAGAATATTACAAGAGGAGATAGATGATGAGCAAATTTGAGTTTTGAAATGATATTTCTGGCAGGAACATGGAAGATGAATTTCAGAGAGTAATGGAGTGATGGTGAGGAAGCTACTGCAATAATTCAAGTGAGAGACTGTGGGGGCCTAGACAAAGGCATAACAGAATGGACAGAGATGAGTAACAATGAGACTGGGGTGTATTGACGGTACTCCCTGAGGGCTTCAGAAAATATCTTTTCCAATTGTCACAGAAAAATAATGACACATTTCTGCAGAGCAAAGTGCTTTCAAATAAAGTGTTTCACTAATCTTCAAAACAAAGTTCTGCAGTAGGGGGCTATTATTATTTTTCTTTTAGAAGTAAAGGAACTGAGACCTAGAACTAAGGAAACAGAGCTAAGAAAGAAGGTGGCTCCCAACTGTTCTCTGATACCAGGATCACAGAAAACTTTACAAATAAATATTCTCCCACTTTTTCTTAAAGAAAATGAATATTTTTGAATGTTTTTAAATATTTTGCTGGAAAAAAGTGTATTTTTTATAAAAATCAAGATACCCTTTGGTCTTCCCACCCACCATTTCCTATACCACGGAATATGAAATGATATACCCATATTAGAACTTTCTAAAAAAAAACTTTTTTCCTTAAAGTATCCAAATCAATAATACCCAAGGAGAAAGTCCCTGAGAATGCGAGGTGACATATATTGTGAATTTCTCTTATTTACATATTTTAGAGAACAATGCAAACGTGACAAGTATTCATTTACAAATATCAATGTATGCAACAATAAGAAAATCAGAATACCTTTGCTTAAGCAAAATAAATAATAATATGGTTACCATATGAAGATATTATGAATTGTATCAGTAATAAAATAGGCAAAGAAGGCCGGGCGCAGTGGTTCATGCCTATACTCCCAGAAATTTGGGAAGCTGAGGCTGGCGGATCACCTGAGGTCAGGAGTTTGAGACCAGCCTGGCCAACATGGCGAAACCTGTCTCTACTAAAAACACATACACACACACAAAAATTAGCTGGGCATGGTGGTGGGCGCCTGTAATCCCAGCTACTCAGGAAGCTGAGGAAGGAGAATCTCTTGAACCCTGGAGGCAGAGGGTGAGCCGAGATCATGCCGCTGCACTCCAGCCTGGGCGACAGACTGAGATGCCACCTCAAAAAAAAAAAAAAAAAGAAAAAGAAAAGAAATATTGAGTTCTTATCTATCCCCTAGAGGAAACAATGCAGGATTGTTCTCTGGTGGATGCATGAGTGCTAGGTTGACTCCTACAGCGTGGTCCCCAACAGTATTAAGAGCCTTTGACCATCAGAGGACAACTACAATGGCTGATAAAAAGGAGAGTCAAACGTTCTCTTTTGTAACATGTTAAGTCGTTTCCATGATAATCTTCTAATATAGAAGTCCTCGACCTCATTTTCTGCAATCAATATCTGATGGTTGGTGATACGCATGAGACTAACTCCCAGCAATCAAGTAATCCCCTCTGGACTGCTGCATAGAAAAGCTGAGCCTCTAGAGTAGCCTGAACATCTACAGCCTAACTTTACCTTGACCTAGAGACCTGAGACTATGAGGGCAAAACGCAGATCTCACAGGTTACCTGTGACTTAATCAGGTTACATTTTCAAACTGGAAAATAGATAGCTTTAAATTATAATTTAGCTGAGTTCAGAATTTAGTCAAATGTCAAGTAATAAAATATGTTGTAATGAAAATAAGAAAGAGGAAAGAAAGATGGAAGAAAGAAAGAAAGAAAGAAAGAAAGAAAGAAAGAAAGAAAGAAAGAAAGAGAAAGAAAAGAAAAAAGAAAAGAAAAGACAAAAGAAAAGAAAAGAAATGAAAAGAGAAAAGAAAAGAAAAGAGATACAAGGAGGGAGGGATGGAGGGAGGGAGGAAGGAAAAGGAAAAGAACACTAGAAAATAAAGCCAAAGTAACACAACAGTTTTAACTCAGTGCTTTAGCACAGACTTACCTATAGTTCCTGCAGGGCATGGCTGCTTTGCTATCTGTCCTTGACGGGTCTTAAACCACATGATTTCTCGGGCTTCCACAGGCTCACAGCTCTCTTCGAGAGCTGGGATTTGGGACGATGCTGATGGAAGGTGTGTGGTCATGTCATCAAGCACCTCAACAGCTGGAGATGGGGTGCTAGTACTCCGGTTTCTTCTTCCTGACACTGACGGGGTGGTACTCCTTCCTGGGCTCAAAGTTGTGGTCCGAAGGGTGGTACTGGTGGTCGTGCTTCCCATGCCAAGGGGTCCTGTGGTAGAGATATCTGAAATAAAATTAGAAAGAAAACACCTGCATTGCTTGTTCACAGTAGGACCTCAAGATGTCCTAACACTTTAGAAATTATTTTTATTTGACAATTGAAAGGGCTTTAAAGCTCTAGAAGTCCTCAACCTGATTTTCATTTTAAACATGGCAAAAATAAGCCAATAACAAGGTATCAGGGTGCCACTTGAGTATCAAAGCAACCAACTGATCACTGCCAAACACAGGCTTTTTAATGGTTCTTCGAAACTCAAATCCTAGAAAACAAAATTATAGCACAACTCAACTCTTCAGTAAGCTTCTTAATGCTCCCAGCCTTTTTGACAATTAGAGGATTAAAACTTTAAGCCCTCTCCTTAGAATTATCAAACTTTGTATAGAAGAGGGAACTATATAAAATTTTATTTTCACATGAAGTATAATATGGATTTCTATATATGCAGCAAACAGGGGAGAGGCCAAAACAAACAAACAAACAAACAAACAAACCAGGAAACAGAAATTAAACTGCTGACAAGCTAAAAAATAAGGAGCAATTCTGAATATAGTCTCCTTAATCACAAATTGGAGTAGCTTAGTGATCTACTTTATTGCTCTTAGAACAGACTCACCTTCACACAATTTTCAAATTTGATTTTTATTAATATACAGTATAAGTAGTTTCCAAATGGTTACAACTCTAAATTATCCTCTAACAAGATTTTTTGAATGGGAAAGTGTATTCCAAGTTCCAAATAAAGATAGTTAGGTTCTTTGTCAGGTAATTGAACCTATGTTTCCAAGGAATAGGCATACTATGGAAATAACCACTGCAAATAATCATCTTTCTGGGAAAATATATTCATATTCTCATCATGGGAATGCAAGAGTATGCTTGTCCTTCCTGTACACAGACTGTATTCCTAGCTGTAAGATTAGAAACTACTGCTAACCTCACTTATTGGCAATAAACTGTAGGAATATTGGCTCTAGTCTGATTCAAGATCACTCATGTTGACGGAGATGTAGGGCATTCTGATACGAGCCTCTATTTGTAATTCATTTTCTACTTCCCTTAAAATATCTTCACCTCTGCTACCCCAAGGAAGTCCCAGGTTCATCACAATGTATTTGGTGTATATAAAGCTTCCAAAGAAACAGGATAGAGATGGTGAAGGGATGGGATAGTTTTGAACATTTCATCACTGACACTGCAGTATTTTCTGAAGTGATGCTTTTTATTATGCCGTTTGCCTCTTTCTTCAATTTTCCCTCCCAGTCTTCTCAGCTTTCCTTCTCTTTCTCTCATGGTCCCTTTCCATATGAATGGTAATGTTCAGAACTGCATCTACTCAAAGTTCATACAAGAAGGCAGAGTGTCTTATTTTCCCTCCTTCTTCCACATATACTATATCTCCCAAATAACCAAGTCTTTTTGATTCTGTCTCATGCGTTTATTTGAAATCCACTTATTTTTTTCTTTCCAATCATCACTACCTATATTCAGCTCCCCATCATCAAATTTTTGTTAATGAAAGCAGTAGCAGAGCAAAATGGCAATACAGTTATTTCAATATTTACTTTTGCCAAATCAAAGCTCATGATTAAAAAAATAAAGCTGACACTAAACATGTAACACAATCCCAACATAACATTTAATAACATATTTCAAAATACTAAGTGCAATTGAAAGCTTACAACTATACACAATAAAAATGACTCTAATATTTATAATTTGCATATATAATCAATCAAATGTTTTAAAAAGAAAACATTACCTACAATCAAGAAAACTGAATAACTTAAAAACTAAATTTTTAGAAAGTATTAGCTTAAAAAAAAAGTGTGTCAGTGGTGTTACTGCTGAGATGTAAGAACATTTTGTGCTGATTTTTCCAGCTGACAGAAAAATCCTTTTTGACATCATACTACTTGGGGAATGCAACAGTTTAAATGTGTCCCCCAAACTTCATGTGTTAGAAACTTCATCCCCAGTGCAAGAGTGTTGAAAAGTGGAACTTTTATGAGGGAATTAAGACCTGAGGGCTCTGCCCTCATGAATGGATTAACACCATTATTGTGGGAGAGGGCTAGTTATCTAGGAAATGGGTTTCTGATAAGAGGATGTGTGTTTGGTCCCCTCCCACCTGTCTCCACCCTTCCCACAAACTGTATGCTCTCTTGCCCATCTGCCTTCTGCCATGGGATGATGCAGCAAGAAGAATTTTGCCAGTTGTGGGGCCCTTGACCTTGAATTTCTCAGCCTCTAGAACTATAAGAAACGATTCTGTCTTTTATAAATTACCTGGTCTTGGGTATTGTTACAGTAGTAGAAAATGAACTAAGATAGGGAAGTAGTAAGGCAATAGTTAAAAGCTAGCTCCAACTATTTTCTCTAACTATTAAAGTTGGAATTATCCTTTAATTCAAATAATGCCAGCTCTCATTTGTACTTCTGAAGGGACGGTTTTGAGCAACTTTTAATTTTTTGACAGGGACTATAATCTTCTCATTGATAATGAGCTACAGTTTTTGTTTCAAACAAAGCATTACGATTTCTTCTTTGTCTTCTTTAGTTTGATCATGTAAAAATGGAGATTCTTAGCAGTTACCTGTTATTAGTTAAATAATCTCATGCTCAACTTAACTTGTTCAGGAGGCCTCTGAAGTAGAGTAGGAATTAATTTTAAAATAGAAGCTCTGTTTTTCAATTGTCTTCTTTCCCTTCTTGAGGATTATGTAGGTACTGACAAATGCTTTCTAAACGAATGCACCTTTCTTCGATTAGATATTTTAATTAGCATATAACTCTCTGGGAGAAGAAAAGATTTGTTCAGCAAAATCATTTTCACTATGACAAACTACCTAGTTACACACGTAGTGCAAGATTTCTCCAGCCTATTGTCTCAACTGCACAAATCATGCACAACGGGCCATGGCACACCACCGCAAGATTTTTGCTGGCTGTGTGGTGTAAGTATTTTAGCATGGGTTTAATAATACATCTTTATCCTCTATTTAAATGATTTATATTTCAGATTTTTAAAGATAATAGAATCAAACCAAACATAATTTAACAATAGCACCAGTACCATGTAATGAAAATTAATGTACTTTCTTTCTTTCTTTTTTCTCAAACGACCCTATTCAAATCATTCTCTACCTTGTTCCAGAGATACTCTTAGGGTATAAATTGGAATATGTTAGTTTACTGATTAAAGTGCTTGAACAGTTTCTATCTGCCCTTCAAACAAAAGCTGAATTGTTTTCTTCATGCCCAAGCCCTTCATGAGTTTCTCTCTCCAACTCATTATAATGCTTTCTCATCTTTTAAGTATATTCTTTAAACCACACAAAATTACCAGTGGTTCCTAGCTGTGCCCTGTTCTTTCTGCCTCAGGGCCTTTGCACATCCTGTAATGTGTTCTTGCCCCCATTTTCACCTGGCTAACTAACTCCTATTTATCCTTTCGGTTTAGCTTGGATGCTATCTCCATCAAGGAGCCTTTCCAAATTTACCAAGACTGGGTTATACACTAACATGTGTTTTGTTAGGATTAGTTCCTTAGCTTTTAGTGTTGTGCCTGATTAGGAGTAAATGAGCTCTCAGGAAAGGGAGATGAACATCAGGACTAGGTCAAGAAGGCAGTGAAGGGTATAGTATCCCACAAAAAGAGAAGCATAACAAAAGAAGGGAAAGGATAAATAGTAGGACAAGCAAATGGGGTAGTTAAGAGTTTGTACAATTAATAGACTGGAAAATTTATTTCTTAAATGCATTTTACATTGTCCAGGAAATATTCAGGAAGAAAATTAAGCTCCCTTTCCCCCAAATGATCATATCTCAGAACAATCAGATTTAAACTCTTATGAAGCAATAACAATGATACAATATTTTTTAAAAACTTCAATTTGGTATGAAATACATTGGAAGGACTTAGTTTAATAGACATACTAACGTTAGGGATCAATATAGAACTTATTTTCATGGAACTGTGCCACAGAGAGATTGTCTACAAGCAGGGTCATACCATTCCATTTAACTTTAAGCAGAATTAAAATCGATTTTAAAAGCTGTCCCTGATCCCCCATACCCACCCTTCCATTCACTGCTATGTAAGACTATTGCAGGCTCTGTTCAATGCCAACTTTTGGCAGAATAAATCCTAGTGATAGACATGCTGTCACCAGTGCCCAAGAAAGGATTCATCTTATTGCTAAATACAAGAGAAAAACAAAATCTAGATTTGCTGAACAGTCACTGATTGGCAAAGTTCTAGCCCATATTAATAGGCTATGAGAGTTTATATTCCAGGAATGGAGAGGTGACATGACCCTTTTTTCAATATGTACTGTTATTGAATCTTACCTGATGACATAGCTAGCTTAATAAAACTATGTGTTATAAGTGCTTTGTATGGTTGTATATCAGAGAAAAGTTATTGTCTAAAAGAAATTAAGTTTAAGTGACTATTTACATACGACATTTTATTAAAGTTTTGCAATTTTCCTTATTTCGTCACTGTTTTTGTGCTCATTGTGCTTATACGGACTAGTATTTTCATAAAAATAACTAAATAAAACTCCTTCTTAGCATTTTACCCTCATAATCTTACTTCCGAAAGAAAATTTTAATTCTCCTGTCCTTTGAAATTCACTGTTCATAACTTGTTTCTTTCTTAGAATTTGATTTATTTTGCTTAATTTTTTTTCCTTCAGCCTGCCTTGTAAAGTATAAGCATTATTTTGAATGCTATTACGAGTTATAACTTCTGGAGTACAATAATAGAAAACAGTGAAAATAAACACTTGTAAAGTTCTTTACATGTTGCAATTATTATTATTATTTATTTTTTTTAGACGGAGTCTCACTCTGTTGCCAGGCTGGAGTGCAGTGGTGCAGTCTTGGCTCACTGAAACAACCACCTCCCGGGTCCATGTGATTCTTCTGCCTCATCCTCCCGAGCAGCTGAGACTACGTGCCACCACGCCCAGCTAATTTTTGTATTTTTAGTAGAGACC